CAGAGCTCTGGTCCCCAATCACAGCAATGGCCGGCAGCGATAGGTCCCTTTCAATGCCAGTCATTCTCAGGGAGTCCACCAGATCGATGTAAGGTTGCACCCGCTCTTCCAGTTGGCCGTGAACCACTCCTTCCATTTGTTTCATTGAATAGCTACAAAATAAAGTTGCACATTTCCGTATTAAGACCTTCCCTGTAACCCATTAATCAAAGATATTCTTTGAAAGCATGAAGCTGTACCTGTCTTGATTCGGGGGACTGAAAACTTCAAGGTTTTCCATAGAACTGTCCATTTCTTCATGAAATTGAAAAAAATAAATAAACACCATAATACATGAACACCATGAATTTTGCGCATGTTCTCCTGATGAGGATTGTAGTCATTTATGAACACTTACTGCTTCATAAATATTGCACTCAATCAGAAGAACTGTAAAAAGAATGAAGCGAACTGATCCTTAAATCACTACGACAAGCTCATGCAAAAAAATTCTTTTTTTTAAGATATAATGTGATGAGTAAATAATTCTGTTTTTCCTCAGTAATGATGCCCTGAGGTGTTAGACACCAATGAAGGCCTCTTATGGTGTCTGTAGAGGATCAACAGCAGGCATTTTGAGCTCAGCAAGTGTAGAAGTCATGGTACAAAAGTCATTTGCACAACATATGGGGCGGAAGCAGGAAAATCTTGGCCCTGGTGCCTTTACGGCTGTACTTTCTAAATTTCACAACCACACAATTAGATATATTACCATACAGATATTCTACTGGTAAAAGAGAGAAACTTCCCTAATTCCAGTGAGTCATAAGAAACAGCAAACAACTTTGTGGTTGAATTGAAGCTACAAAATATCATATTGTTGTAACATTATGTTTTTAGTAACTTTAAAAAATAGGAAAATAAGTTAATTTATCTACTTATTAGAACTAGTAAATCATTCTGTCCAAAATACATATTGTTGAAAAACTCGCTGTAAAATCCCTAAGTTAGAGCCCCACTCAAATTGTAGTTAGATTACATCATATTTGGGGGTATTACTTGCATTGTCCTGTAGGTAAGGAGAAATGACAGCAAAGTAGAATGAAAACATTTACCTTTATTTCAGAATGGCTCCTAAGAAATTAAGTTCAGTGGTGCGACAGATGATATCGAGACGTCGGACCTGGTCTTGCCAAACTGAAGCACAGCGCCTCGAAGCTGGAGTCGGAATTTGCTTCATTTATGCAGCATCACCTGACCGATGACGTCCGACTCCTGCTGAGGTGTCAGAGGTTTCAAAGCCTGCAGGTGTTACACCGTATTTTGTGACCGTCGTCATGTGTGACTGCAGAGGCGCTGTTTCACATATTATTGGGAATGAAGGCGATGTACCTGTTCACGCGCACGAGCCCTCTGTGAATTTCGTGTATGTTTTTTTTATTTATTTTTTTTTTATTTTTTTTTTACTAATTGTTTATTTGGCACTTTATTTTATGTGTTTCGCGAATTGGCCCCTTACAGCAGAGGAGAACAGGAGGTGAGGGAACATCCTTAAGAAGCATTTAGAGAGGGGGCTCAGTCAAAATATAAAATTATTGGTCAGAAATTACTGGTCACAATTCAAAATAATAAAGGCATAAGGCTTCTGCTAATGTTTAAATATTCATGTGACCCGAGCCATGTGCTGCTTCCTGCTCAATGACTCCAGTGGACAGGGCAGGCCAGGTATGTTGGTGACGTGAGGGAGGTACAGTCCAGGCAAGGATGTTGGAAACAATGTTCATCCCGAGTTCATCCCAAACTGCATCTGGTGCACACTTTATTTAATCGCGGAGGTCGCATTG